AGTGACCTAAAAAACGCTCGTTTCCTGCCAGTGTTGAGGTTTTAATTGGCTGCCCGTTGGATCCGTGTCCTCTGTGGATCGTTCTGTGCTCACAGAAACATTTGGCAGTTTGAACACGGCTCCATGTGACCAGCGTCTCAGAAGCATTTCTATCATCATGTTGTTGAATTTGCTGAAGTACGTCCTTCATAAGAAACGCTGGAGCTGAAGTGAGACGTGGGTAAAGTCGCCGTACGTGGTCGACATACATGCACACAAGTACGACAGTGAGGCGGTGCGCTGGCTTTAGTGTTTGACTGCAGGGGGTTGTGGGTAACGCGGTCCGTTAGCCCATTAATAAATGAAAGAACCACGTGATGAAGACATATGGGCCTGTTCTGAGCTGCCCTCGGCTGACACTGTGTGTGTGTGTGTGTGTGCTTTGCTGCAACAAAACCCAAAACAGAAGTCAATAGAGTGAATAGTGGTGAGCTGTAGCGGCGCAGACAGGCAGCGAGTGGGCTGAGTGTGTGAGAGTCTGTGGGATGGAGGAGTGGGAGTTCTGTGCAGAGATGTTGTGACCTCGTCCTCCTCTCTGCTGCTGCAGCTGTCTTCAGGCTTCACACACATGCATGCGCCCAACATGAGAGTAACGGCGTATCAGTGAAGGAGAGAGCGAGCTGCAGCCCGTTCTGCTCTGCAGCCCGTTCTGCTGCTGCCCTTGACTAAGTCACCGGCCTCAGCAGTGGCCCTCGGGCCGGTGCTGCTCGGTGGAGACAGCTGCTCCTCATCAGTCAAACACAAAGGGCACATTTCCTCACCACGGCTCCTCAAGTCTACAGCCACCAACACGTCCACAAAACGCCCCAGCGTGATGTTCAAAAGCATTTATGTTGAACATCATTCATGGTGCTGGTTGTATGTTGTCAGTACCTTTGCATAGGTTTCCATCAACATGTGTGGTGTTAGCAGGAGGACAGAGGCCACGCTGCCTGTCCTGCTCTGTTTTCTACTGCTTGTAGCTTCTTATTTAATATATTGTTTGATATTTTTGCAACCACTTTCCCATCTGGGAATAAATAATGAAGTCTTGTGGACGCTGGCTGATTGGCTGGCTGATTGGCTGGCCGACGTGCTCTCATCACTACTGGCTGCTGATCAATCGTTTTCAGTATCTACCAACTTCTACAACTTTAAACTCAACCAGCCTGTTGGAGGCTGCTCAGTTATTCAGCGTTTAGGCCACATTTGTGAAACAATGAGTTGGAGTCGGGAGTCTCCATGTTCTCCCCGTGCAGCGTGGGTTCTCTCCGGGTTCTCCGGCTTCCTCCCACAGTCCACAAACATGCTGAGGTTAATTGGTGATTGTAAATTGTCCGTAGGTGTGAATGTGAGTGTGCTTGGTTGTCTGTCTCTAAGTGTAGCCCTGTGATAGACTGGTTACCTGTCCAGGTGAGCCTGCCTTCACCCTGAGTCAGCTGGGATAGGCTCCGCCCCCCATGACCCTGGTGAGGATGAAGGTGTAGAGATGATGGATGGATGGAGTCGGTTTCAACGTAGTCAACACGGAGTCCAAGAAGCTGTCGGTGGGGCTGCATTTTGTTAGAAACCGATGTCCAAAAAAGTCGAGTGCAAACTTTGCAAACAGCACTTCCTGTATCACAGATCAACGACCACCATGACAGCTCAGCTACAACCAAACCTGTCTGCATCTTATTCATCAGTAGCGCCGCATTAGCCCGTTGATATAGTTCTGTTGTCAGGAATGATATGATTGTGGGCAGCTGACCACGATCATTTCACTTTAAAATATCTTATTGTGCTGCACATCCCGGCTTCGAATGTTCATTTAGAATTATTTTAAGTTCCTCTATTTGGTTCATGCAGAGATATGCAGATTGTTATTTATTTCTTTATTTCCTGCCAATTGTTCAAAGTGTAGATGTGAGTTCAATCAACCAGGACTTTCTTTGGTTGGTTCAGTTCTAGTTGTAAAGCAGGAGCTCCATCAGCGTCCCTTCAGGATGCGTTCAGGTGCAGCGTTAAGCTGTCGGTCAGCTGCCATTTGCCAGCGTTTAGATGCCAGTACATGATCACCCTGCATGAAACAGAAGATCAGCGTTCACAAGACGTCTGGACTGACTAAGCTCACGTTGTCAGGGTGAGCTCTCTACACCTGGTAGAGGTGTAGAGGTGTGGTGAAACCATGAGACCAGTTCTGCAGTCTGACTCTAACTGAAGTGTCCTTCTTGACACAGAGACCGTTTCCTCTCACTTCTTCTGTGATTCATGCTGTTACAGGCACAAAATGGGAATTTTCAAGCTAGTATCAAAGTCCTTAAGTGGCCGTCTGATCGTAGATAACAAAGCCTCGTTTGCTGTGAGATAAACAATAAGTGTGATTTAATTCTCTCAGCTGTGTTCAGGCTGTAGGAGTCGTAACTACTTCTTGGCACGTAGCGGCCGACAGCAGTGACTGTCTGGCGGCTGACAGCAGTCAGAAGTATGAAGGGTAGAAGGTTCAGCGCCATCCATCCACCCCGACCTCCTCATACCTACACCTGGATGCACAGAGGGGACCTAACCCTAACCCTGCGACCTCCCATTCATCACTGCTCCTAATGCTCACCGGCTAGCAAGTAGCTGCTGTAGCTGACTTTGTGCCAAGGACAACAGAGGAGCTGCAGAAACTGCAACACAGTTTGTTCTGTCGTTTTCTTTCTCGCCTTCAGGATTACTGCCCATTCTTCACACAAGCGTAAATGTTTCCAGCTCCTGTGGACATGTCAAGGCCTCAGTCTGAACTAAAAGCCGTCTGCGACAGAAGAACTGCTCTCCTGCACAGAGTCGACCTGTGCATGTGTGCAAAGGAGGACGCTGTGAACTCTGTGGGATGAAATGTTAATGTGCTGCAGAGCTCATTAGCATCTCCTCAGGCTCAGCATTTCAAGTCTTTTGGAGAAGAGGTTTAGGTTAAATGCAGTTTTAATGGTACGCAGTCAGATCAGCCACCGGTACGTGTCCGGCTGTAGCCTGGTAGCCTCATGCTACAAACCTGGATCATCATCTCAGTGCAGTCCCAGCACACGGAGGAACGGCACAACGGTTCTGCTTAAAGGCAAAACTTTCAGAGTTATCGCCTAAAACTTCTCCATTGAGTGCAAAGACGTGGGCGGACACTCCTCCTTTGTAGCAGAACAGAGAGAGACATGTCTGCCTGACATCGACAGAACGGTCGTGGGTTTCACAGATATTTCAGCTCCTTGAGCCTCATGTTGCTTCTGCAGCTTCTTCATGCATTTCAGCAACGACGCCACACCTGGTGAAAGTCTGATCAGAGTCTTCTGTTGGGGATTGTACTCCAGCCTCAGGGGGAGCTCGCTGTTCCCTTTATTCCCATCAGTGCAGACAAGTGAGTTGGATTGTTCTGACATAAAAAACTGGGAGTTTTATATATATTCACAACTACGATAAAGAGACATGAATGTTGGCAGCTTAACGCTGGGCGACAAAGTTTGTTCATCTTCTGTTTTGCTTAATGGTGGCTGGCATCAAGACAGTTTCTGATCGTTGACTTAAAAAGAGTGAAATAAAGACGTCGTTCTGGCTAGAACAACATGCACGCTGGTGTCTACATTAAAGTGAATTAATCACCCTCGTGCACGAATCACACACCAATCATGACCTAACTTATCACAGTATGCATAAAAACACTGAAACATAGAATTGCATGACAACACTAGCATAGCCCCAAAAGTTCACCAGTTGTGATTTCAGCAGAGCTCATATCTCCTCAGGAGGAACCGGGCTCCCCTGACTTCCTGTGGTTCAGACTCCTCTTCAGATCCTCTAAACGATGAAATAAAACCTTCAGCTGATGCGACTGGCATCCTGTATCAGTGTATTTTATTTGTTCTGAGTGTCTCTGCGTCCAACAGGCAGCAGGTGAGCTGTCTGGCTGCAGAACCGACCAGAACACTGTGCAGGTGGTTCCTGGAAGCCGACGGGTTCTAGACTTGCAGCTACAGACTTCCAAAGGTTTCGTCACGTCACGCTTCCAGTTCAGACTTCTAGTGACTGAGACTATAATGACTGAAGACTTTGGAACAGGAGACAGCTGGAGACATTCAGAGCCAACATCCAGGGGCAGTTATTGGAGCTGTTGGACTTTAATAGCCACGCTGCATTAATTAAACCCCCCAAACCCATCCCTGTTTATCAGAGTTACATCCTTCTTCCATGAAAACCATTCCATCCTGTTTCGAATAGCTTGTGAGATGAACAGATTGGTTTTGTAGGTTTGTTGAAACCCTGGATGTCTGAATGCGTGTTTTGAGGCTATCATCGGGACGCTGCAGCTTCAGCGAAGGAAAGCTCCACCGTGGAAGGTTATTTTTAGCTCATGATATATCTCCCAGCATATAAAAAACACCCTGTGGACACGTTAACAAGGCAGAACAGCGAGTCACCAGAGGGCCCTTTAAAGGATGCTCCATACAGGCCTCAACCTGGAGCCGAGGTAGCTGCTGCTCGGCTGCTGTGCACATCCACCACGTTAAACAGAGATGACCTACAAATCTGCCAGAACAGCTGGAGAGTGCATGGACTTGAATTAGTCTCTGGTGTCAGAGCTTTGACAGACGTGAATGGGAAATGGAGCAAATATCTGGAGGAGGAAAGCGTCTGTTGACCTCCAACAAGCTAGCTGGCGTGTTGTTATCAAATCGCGTGAAATGTTGTGGTGAGTTTGGTCCAACATGTTGTAGAGCAGCCCTGGACCGGTTCTCCACACAAACACTGTCTCTGGCTGTCACCTCAGCCAAGACTTGGGCTTTGGCAGGTTTCCTGCCCCTGGTGCTCCCGCTGTGCGAGGTGGAGAGTGCAAAGTGGCGTGCTGAGCTGACATGGCGACCAGCCTTTCTGTCTGTCTGCCCAAACTCCTTCTTTTTGCACCACATTTCTCAGAGATTTAACCACCATGCAACTCCTTCTCTCTTTCCTCGTCCTCCTGCAGCTAACTGATGATGGATCTGTTCGGCCGAGGAGAGCTGGGGCTGCTGGGGGGAGGAGAGGGGCTGAGGGACGACGTCGGGGTATCCGGGATAAGCTGGACGGCCAATCGGTTGCCGGACGACATGTACCCGGCGTCAGGATTGGCCCTGGCCGCCGCCTATCACGACATCAAGACCCGGCTGGCCAGTCTGGAGCGAGAGAACAGCAGCATCAAGAGGAAACTGAAACACTACGAGGTCAAGGTGCAGAGCAGCACCCACACAGCAGACTGCTACATGAAACACGCATCACCTCCTACAGCATCATTCTCCTCTTTCTTCTCCTTCAGTTTCCTATGATCAGTGAGTTTGGAGAGGAGAGGATGCTGTGTTGCTCCTGTGATCCCATCATCAAGGACACCAGTGTGATCCAATCAGAGACCACCAACCTGCAGCAGAGGATCAACTCGCTCACTCAGGAGGTACCATCACCCGCAGAACCACTAACCCCAGTTAGCACCAGCAGCTTCATTTAG